GGAAATAAGCACTGGTGTTGTTTGTAATATGCTTCACCCTGCGCATTGCGCCACCATCAATGTTGATTTCTCATCATCGTTGGTATCTTAATTTTTCATCAGCTCCTTCGGTTTGTCGAACAATCACCAGCAGTTGGCACTGTCCCATGAGCGGCTTGGGATAGATGTCCCCTTTCATCTGGCCTTGCTGGCTGTCGGGCTTGGACCCAACCTGCGGTCGATGGCAATTGCTTCTGCCCTTTACATCCCTTGACCCCATGAAACCTTCTGCTCCTTCTGCTCCTCCTCTCTAGGGCTAATGATCTATTTTGTTATTTTCACCCTTAAGAGCTTGGTGATTCAGTAATCAGACAGCACCCTATTTGAGCAACGGTCAAAACACGGTATATAAAGCAGAATACTTGAACTGCCTTCAACCGGAAGTGTTGGCCCCCAAAAGGAATGCACTACTAAAACATGATGGATGGACCTTTGTGTAAAGGCTGAAGTGCAAAGCATATAGTTCAATTGGGCCCTTCCAATGCAAAGTGATTGCATACGGTTGGACGAAGAGTTTTGCAGCCACACATATTATGCATATTGACATAGTACAATGCCAGCAGTGTGACCTCTTAGGCTGAACAGGCGCTTGCCATTCGAGATTTGATGCCACCTTTCAGGATGATCTTCCAAAGGCCGAAGAGTCGTAAACTGGGTCGGCGTGGGTGGCGTTCCTGCTCGCAACAAGTTGCAGGAACAGTTTATCAATGTTTTCGGAGCCTGACAAGAACTAAACATCAAGACATATGAAAGATTTGTTTTAATTTTTGCTTTTTGGAGCCTTAAAAAATTTATTAGTTAAAACATATAGACTATTAGAGTATTAAAAATAAAGAATTATGCAAGATCTGATTTAAACGTTTGAACTTTTTAAGTCTTTTCGGAGCCTTTAAAAAAACAACTTGAAACGAATTAAAAAGGACCTGTCACGTCGACCCAGTTGGTTCCTGCAAAGCTTCATTCGCCGCCCCGTTCGCAGGGACGCGTGAATGATGCTGAATGATGCTTGCTAGCACTTCGAGCACAAGCCTGGAGATCAGGGTACTAGCCTACATGCCGCCTACATGTGTTTTCCTTTTTCCGAAAAAATGTCAACATTGCTATGTACTGGCCAAATTGACCATGAACCTTTTGTTTGACACCAAAAGAGCTTCTACTCCCTGGAGGCCCGACCCACCACACGAACGTCACTCCTCTCAGCCCAGGAACGTGGTCCACTCCGTGGTGGACGAATGAAAGAAAGGGTTGGTAAAACCTCTCTGGGTTGGTGAAACCTCTCAGGGTTGGTTTGGCAACTCCTCTCAGGGTTGGACGTGCTCTTCTTTTCGAAATTAGCATTGGTTCGAACTAGCAGGTTCAATGGTTTGTAGTCCAACCCACCATGTTCCCGTCCCAACCTTAGACAGAAAAAAGACGAGCTCCGACGTGGCAACGTGCGCGGAGCTCAAAGCAAAGCTGTCTAAGTGCATTGTTTTAATGTGAAGATCACCTAACTTTCTAGCATCTTTCCGCTGCCTGCTCTTTCAGTCGCTTCAACGATAAAAGCTGGGTCTTTCCAGACCATTGATGGTTGAGCCACTGGACGGGAGCGGCGGCAGCTCGACTTTTTTCATCAAGTGATACTGCAAATTGAACGCGTCATGTGGTGCCCATGCACTGGCCATTGATTCCTGCCTCCTTCCTATGTATGGAGAGCGGACAAAATATCTGGGAAAGCTGTGCATAGAACTGTGATTGAGAACCTGGTGAAGTCTTGTGCAGCCTGTGACATGCTTGCAGCTTGCGTTCACGCTTTCCCAGTCTTTCAAGGTTTCTCATGACAGATCTATTGATCAATTTGGCCGGTTGATACCAGCCTTATTCCCCGCGTCAATCCTGCGACGATCACTTGGACGGACACTGGTGCAAATTGCAAGAAGTGAGAAAATCAAGCCCTACTCTGACCTTTAGTCAGGCCAATAAAAAAGTTTGGGCTTGATTTTCTCAGGAACCGATGACGCACCAGTGAGCCTGATGAATTAAATGCAAATTTTGCGTTTCAAAGCGGTTCCTGATGACATTTGTCTGAACCGCTGCACCCCAACTTGGCTTGTCAAGATCCAAAATTCGACCGCGATCCAATGTGGAGACACCACGTAACACCTGCAGCCTTCTAGATAGAGACAAAATTGGAAGGGGGCCTTTTGAACGGGGCCCTTACCAACGGTTTTACTGAAAGCTCCTGCGAAGGGTTCTTCGTAAAGAAACATCATCATCGTCATCGTCATCAAACATCTGCAGTAGCATTATCATGTGGAGATACAGGTGTATTGCCGATGTGGACCAAACTATAGATACAGGTGCATGTATATACAATGTGTGGAGTTTAACAGGTGCAAAAAGATACTTGTGCTTACGTTCAGGTGCAGCGATACATGTGTTTCAATACAAGCGCGAAGAGACAGGCACATACGTGTAAAAGCACAGTGTACAAACACAGGTGTAGAGATGCAGGTGTACTGATACAGGCGTAGTAATGCAAGTGCATAAATACAGGCGGATAAATACATATGTAAAGAACTACTCAATACGCCTACAACTTCGACATTCTTTAGAAGTCCCCTCAAGGCAGCTTGGCGGGGTAGCCCGGTTCATCCAAGCATGGCCCTCTGTGGAGGTCGTGCATGTCGGATGCGCGAAACTGCAGCTTCGGGTAACCCTTTACAGGGGTCGTGACTGTCCGATGTTCAAAATGTGAGACTGTCGAAAGCTGATATTAGCAATGATTAAGTGTGAAGCGCTCCTTGAAAATGAATGTGTGGAACGGTCGTCAAAACACGATGATTGCGATGACAAAGTGTGAACTTGTTGTCGGTCGAAAACATTCGATGACGAAGTGAAAGTGAATGACTGCGATGTCAAGGTATGAGTCGAAGATGGACGAATGGGCGCTTGGGATGTGAAAGTGTGAAACTGTTTTTGTCTTACATTGTTGCGTGCAGGAAGTGGCACAGGGTGTCGCTGTGCCATGCTGTTTGGCAAAGCCTGGGTGGACAGTGCGTTTGCGTGGCTCTGTGCCATTCGGGAGAGGGAAACTTGTGTGTGTAAACACAGTGTGAGCGGGATGCTTGGTGGTTGCATCTACTACTTGCTACTAAACTGCAGATGGCCTGGCCAAATCAGGTCGGTGATGTGGATGCTTTTTGTGGAGAGTCTTGGTACGGATATGATATATTCAAATCATTGTCGTGATCTTCACCCTGGTTTTTATAACTAACAATTCGTGCGCACACACACCCTCACGCACACGTTGTCACAACCATCATCGTTGCTATCCTGCTTCGTGACAACAACATCACGAAGCACACCACGTCATCACATCACATCATGTCGAACTTTGGGTTTCTTGCTGGATTCTTACTCATCCTCGTACTCCTGCAATCCTTTCGGGCCATCTTGTCGCTTGGTTCCCTCTCTATCGAGAAGGCCTTCTAGATTGGGACCGAGTGATGGAGCTATGGTTTGAGCGGTTTCGAGGCGCCAAAGAGCTGAGTGCCGTATGTTTTACCCCAAGGCAGGTCTTCCACAATTTGCTGTACGTGCGGTATCCGCATTCCAGCGAGAAGCAGTCCTGACCTTGGACATAGAAGACGAACATTGGACTCTTTGTTCATTTCTTGCGGAGGGATTCCAAGCTGGTGAGATCACAGCCATCCGCACAAGAAAAAATTTTGGAATTTGATGGAGTTTGTTTGGTCTTTGGCTTGGGTCAGAGCCAACATTTTGCTGGTGAAGGTGCTGCATTTTCACATCGTTGGGACTGCATCCTCACCAAAGTCACACGTCACACATGTCCTCCGCAGAGCACACGTCACACATCGACTTCGAGAACACCCGTGGTTCTTCCCGTGGTTGCGCCTGTGGAAATGTGGAACGCAACCACATGGCTGAACTTCACACGTCCAAGGCGAAACCCGGACCGATTTTGGATTCCAGAGAACCAAAAGGTTTCCAGGCAGAAGGAGGCTGGTACCGAAGCTCCACGTTTGGCCATGTTGGAATAGGACAACTTGTATTTGTGACCCGTTTTTCTACGGTTACAATCTTACAATCCTTTTTAGGGCCAACAGTCATTTGTGGGCACTTGCTTGGTTGTGCTGAAGTTTGGTGCCACATAAGATTTGGTTCGCGTCTGAGAGATTTTCTTGAAGCTAAGCGCAAAAGCTGGCATCCTGCATGTGAACCCTTGGTTGCAGGCGGCGATGCAGCAAAGAAGGATCAAGCCAAAGGGCTGAATGCTTTGAGCCGATGGACACTTAAAAAATCTCAGTCTCAGCATTGCTTTGACAGTAATTACTGTAGTAATTATACACTTTTCTCATCACGAGCAGCTTATTATGGCACATGCATTTGTCAAGAAACAGATGTGGTTCATGCCTGGATATCCATGTCTATTTCTGACCTGGACCCTGCAATCCTAGAAGATATTTTATGCGTGTGGTTGCAATTGCCTTTCTGATCGGTGCTGCCATTCCTGATTCCTTACCAAGCAAGAAAACACAAGCTGACAGCATGTTACACAATGAGCACACGCGAGAGAGAGAGAGAGAGGGAAGGAGGGGGAAAGAGAGAGAGAGAGAGATATTTGTATATATTGATGGATAGATGGATAGATCGATAGAGCGATAGATCGATAGACAGATAGACAGACAGATAGATAGATAGATATGAGAGGGACAGAGATTCTAGCAAGTTGCAAGGATGCTTCCAGCGCACCAACATAAGTCCATGCATAGTTTTATGAACATAACCATAAAGCTACAGTTTTGTCAATATCATAATCTTCTCGAGCTCCTTTTGTTGGGTCTTTCGTGCTTTGGGCACAGGCTTTTTCAATGTTGTTCCTGTCATTGGGCACAGTCCTTGTGTGGATTTCCTGGGTTCCTGGGTTGTGCCGAAACCTTTGACCGTCCTGGCCATGCATGCAGCAAGCACGGGTTTGCACCTAGCATGTTTTGTCTCAGATGGGCAGGCTTTGTACCTTTCTCAGAGTTTCGGTTGTAGTTAATCCAGCAATGACCCCTTTGTCAGCGAGCACTTTATGGTTTGGTGGTAGATTAAATTTGTTCTCATGACAGGATTGAGCTTCCATGTGTGTCAATGACTGTAGTTGATCTTTTGTCCCTCCTGCTCCACAGATTGCCAGAACCTAGACGGCGCATCCTAGTTACACCGAGTTACCATACCTGTATTTTGGAGACCACCTTTGAATGACAGGCAAACCGTGATTGGTCAACTCTATTGCGGATCACATGGATATTTTGAACACATCGTGCTTGAATCCCTTGTAGGAGCTCTTCTCATCTCAGCTGACTTGATTGAACTTTTGCATGTGCACATCATGCCCATGGAACAAGAAGCTACTGTACTAGTAACAAGGGCATCGCTACTAGGAGCAAGGACGCTACTAGTAGCTCCTGGCATTACTACTAGTAACAAGGGCATTTCTACTAGTAGCTCCGAATTTGGATGTTGGGCTCAGGAGGCTCGAAGAGTTGCTCTGAATATGCCAGGATGGTTATGACTTTCCTACAGAGACCAGGGCCCAGATAGGCGAGCACATGTTCTTGGCTTTGGTTTGCTCGCTGAGCTTGCTTGTTGAGGGTTCGCAGCTTGACCGCATCCCTTGTTTGAAGGACTAACTATATATCTAAATAGGGACTATTTCAAGGTGCACAGAATCTTTGCCTGCCTCATTTTACCTCGCGAGGAAGTCTTTCGATACTTGTACCTACGTAGCGAGAACTTTGCCGTGTTGCGATTCGCACATCGGTAAAAACAGCGGTGCCCCCCGAAATTGATGTTGCAGGCTGCCAGCTTCATCACCGATGTGCTTCACCCATTTCAATTTTTAGGTGGCAAAGTAGTCAGAGTCGCTATGGCCAAAAAAAAGTTCTTTCTTACTTGAGCAAAGCGACCAAATCTGTCCACGAGGAAACAGATGAATTTCCGCGGTCCATGGAGTCCATTCTGGCTTTGCCTCTCTCTCTCTCTCTGTGTATGTGTTCCAGCAGTGTTTTATCCGTGCCAGCCATGTGTGTTGCAAGGTGGCCGCCTCCATTTCTGGTGGCAAAGACTCCTTGGATCAACAGGTGGAATACTCTTCGGAGCAGTGTTGCAGACGACTTGCAAGGTTTCTCAGCCTTGTCCGAAAGTGTGAGTCCTGGTTCCTCTCTGTCCGACAGTGTCTCTATTGAAGCCAGTTCTATCCAAAGTCTGAGGTTTCGATGGTTTCTTCATGCTTCTTCTGTATCCGGTCGTTTGCCTCTTTGTCACAAAGCTGGCGAACAAAAGACATGAAGACCTGTCGGTTCCTCCCAATTCTGGTGCGAGGTGTGTCAAGATGCTTTAGCAGCTGGAAAGTTGCCCTCAATGTCGGATGCTCATGAAGACAATGTCGAATCGAACGATTTTCATCGCATTTGTACAGAACTCCAAAGACAATTTGCTTACCACTTCGCATGTATCTAACCCAACTGTGTGGCTTGGCATCCTGTACCACGTCCTGCACCCAACCGTCGAGGAACCGAACCAACGGGTCATCCGAGCGGACTGTTCTGTCTGTGTGGGGTCGCTGCAGTTGGGAGATGAGTTGGAGCGCTTAATTCTTAGCTTCTTGCTACTAGTAGCGATGCCAGGAGCCCCTAGTAGCGTCCTTGCTCCTAGTAGTAAGGCCAGGAGCCCCTAGTAGCTTATTGTTCCTACTACAAAGAAAGAATGGGCAAAGAAGACTTCTTAGACTTCTTAAAGTTGCATCTTTATGACGTCTAAGTCTGAGTAGTTAAGATACTCGACAGTTAGAGTTTACATGCCCACTTCTGGGCATCGATAGGTGGGTGACTTGGTGTGATAGGTGGGTGACTTGGGATCTGCAGATCTGCAGCATCAAGTATACTTGTCGAGGTTGTTTGCAACCTGACCTTGTCAAAGCATAAATTTGCTACCGTGACTGGGCTCTGTTCTTTTGTGAGGGCTCATTCTTCAAAATGTTCCTTGGCTTTGAACCTTATACTAGGAATATGAATGAATATACTAGGTGTGTTCGTTTCGTGAATCCCATGCATTGTAGGGACGGGGAGGAGTAACGCCACTGTGGAATGTGAAAAGCTTTGACCTGGCACAGCCTGCAATAGCCCTCTGGCTTTCTGGGGCTTGCCGCCCTTACGGCTGGCAGAACATATACGGACCTCTAGCCTCTGAGCGTGAGGACTGTGAGCGCACGAAGGCCGACATGGAATACTTTCGACAGCCCCATGTGCGGGACAAGATGGAGGTGGCGGGATGGTGGAAGAGATGGTGGGACGCGCAAGTACAGAGTGTGCCTGCGTGTGCCTGCGTATGCTGTCTATGCCGTTGGCTCAGAGTTTCTATCCACAATGTTTGAGCGTTTGAGCCACCTCTTTGACTACACACTGCCGGACTTTCAAGTTAGATCGTTTGAGCCTTTGAGTTTTCTTCTTCGTGGCTGGTTCACAACATGAGTTGTTACCTTGCTTATCTCCATAATCACCAGCAGGCGTAACCCCTATGACCCTCTACCAGGTTGAAACCTTAGAGGGGCCACTGTCACAGGCGATGTTGACCTGCTGGTGTCAGACGCAGCAAACGAAGTACAAGCAAGGTCTGAATGAGGCGCCGCGCTGAGAAGGGTGCCCTTTTTTGTTCTTTGGTGGGTTACAAGGCTCAAGCATCAGAGTGCTTCTTTCGGTCCTACAAAAAGACGTCATGGAAACCCCGCAAAAGGCGAAAGAACCACGTTGGCCAGGTCGATCGGTGGAAACGTCTTCATCCTTCGAAACGAACACAACCTGCGAAGGTCTTGGCACCTTTTTGTCCAGGTTTTGGCACCTTTCCTCTACTTGCAGAGATCCTGGCTCGTTGCACCGGAAAAAAGGACTACGACTTGGTTCCAAGAAGCGAACGAAACAGTCGGCGGACTAACGAAACAAGGCTCAATGGCAAACCAATTGGAGACTTCGAGGCTCAACAGGGACACAGCAGCCTGTACTTTCCTGAAGCGCAGCAGTCTAGTTTCTGCAAGAACCTCATTTAGATGGTGGACAGCTCAGAACCCCGTCTAGCTCTCCTCTGTGGAGGCAGAGACTGCTTGCGCTATCTGCCAGTGTAGAGCATAGGGTAGCTTCACAGCGCGTCATTGGCCAGGCTGCAGCTGGACCCTGATGATGCTGCAGTCACAGATGATGAGGCATGTGTCCAACTTCCTTCATCAGCGCAAGCCTAATAGGATCTAATAGGTGACCTGTCCCAGTACAAGCCCGGGTCAATGCCTTGGATCATTTTTAGGACTCTTTTTTCCTTCATTTCTTGGCGCTACTTGGGCGCCACTGGGAAGTGCGCGTCATCCGACAGTTTTTGGTGATACAGAGTGCCAGGTCTTTGACCTCTTCTCGGCTTTTGTTCAAGACTATGCACCGTTCCTTGTCCTTGACACCATGGGAGGGATATCGCTCCGTTGGCCGGGCGCGAGCGAGACCAAGGTCGGCCGGCCAGCGAGCGTTTGATTGCGATTTAGTGTCTGACACCGACGTGACCAAGCAGAGCGGTCACAATTACTAGTAGCTTCTCGTTACTAGTAGCGATGCTAGAAGCCCCTAGTAGCGTCCTTGCTCCTAGTAGTAAGGCCAGGATCCCCTAGTAGCTTCTTGTGACTAGTAGCCACAATTGTTAGCCAAACAGAGCGGAGAGCCAAATGAGCTTTGTCCTTTAACCCACAGACACTACTGGCCCCTGCTGCCTTGCATTGAGGTTCTTTTCTTCGGAGGAATTTGCCCAACTGTCATGGTTTATCATCATGAGAATCGAAGTGCCAAAGGTGCAGTTCCCGAGAGTCCGAGCCCGGGGAATCCTGGCTTCCACTTTCATCAGCTCTAGTGCGTACCAAGCTTGCTTCTCAGCCAACACCAGTAGGCTCGTTTTCCAGTCTAGGGCAATGCAAGTTTGGGACTCGCTCCACATCGATTGAACCGTTTCAGTGAACTGTTCCTATCAGACGTGGCAGGTGCCTTTGCAGTGTGCTTTCATATTCTTCAGGCGATTGCTCCTTTATCATTGTCAGACGGCCCAGCTCTGCGTATGGTGGCTTATCATGTCTTCTCCAAGGTTGCGAGACGGATTGACTGCATCCCCTCATGGCTTCTCCAGCCACTCATGCTGGTCCGTACCCTCATGGCCGAGCACCACGTGAGAGTTTGGATGAGTTGGGCATGTTTTGGAAGATCTTCTCAAGGCGCTTTTGCGACCCATCGAACTAGCACTTACTGTCTGTATAATATGTATATATATATAATACACACACGTGCTTCATGAAGAGACTTTGAGCATTTGGGAGCTCACAAAGCACTGAGGCCCCAGGGTTCAAAACTTCTTCCTTGAGAAGGGTGTGTCTGGCGCTAAGGGATTGCGACCGAAATGAGACAGATTTGAAGCTCTTGCGTTGACATCCTCTGCAACAAGTGTCACACTCTTGCAATTTCCACCTGGGAACTGTACTGTATGTTTACTCAGATCCCGTTCCCTACTTCAAACAAAGACCGTGCCTGCGGGCTCTTTTTGCATGTCCGAATCAGTTTGTCAATCCAATTGAATCACGCAGGACTCCAGACATGTGCGGGACTGAGTGCAATTCTCGAAAGCCCTGCCACCCCTTGAATGCTATTTCTCGATGGTCCGAACCATAACCAGACTATCAGTTTCTGCTTGCCGGCCAGCAAGGGTTTCCCCGAGTCCAAGAATAATTACACTGTTGGGTGGTTCAAGGCTGAATCAGCGGTGGAAAGCCATGCAGGGTCACATCATGCCGCCCTTTCCGGGCAAACCAAATGGTTCTCCGTGGCATGAAGTCGCCGCGACGTTCGGTTTCCGCAGCAGTTCTACTACGCCCTCTTCGCCAGTGTGTAGTAGCTGATGTAGACTCTTGATTAATAACCACCCCAATTTTGAATGCACGAACTTGCGGACCGTCCGAAACGGGCGCGCCCACACCCTACCCCATTTGAATTGGAAATCCTTTTCATATCGGGGGTTGATCAATCAAGACTACATTAGCTTTGGCTCAGGTTTTGCATGCCTTGGTTCCTGACGCTCTTCGCGAGCAAGATGCCTATGAGGCTGTCGGGACTCACGAAGATCCAGGAAGGGCCTGGACTTGGTGGGCGCTTACGGAGCCACGGTAGATACGGTCGATGTCCCCAACAAAAGCTATCGCAATCAGTGGAGATCCCCCCCCACTCCCGACATTGCCGCTCGCAGTTGGCGGCAGTGTGGGTGCAGCCACATTTTGTGATAGTCATTGGGAGGCGCAATGACAGAATATTGCAATGACTGTTCAATGGCCAAGACATGCCAAGACAAAATGTTTTGTTGCACAGTGAAATCACATCGGCTGCTTCGCCGAAGCAGAGTTGCAGAAGCTGGAAAGGCTGGGCTTTTTGCCACACGCACACTGCTGTCACATTCTGTTGTAGTGGCCAACAAGTTGAGCGAGCGCGTTGTGCCGCTCGTAAGCTTGTATTTCTTGCGACCGGTACAGTGGCATCCACATGTGGATGGATCGACTGGTCGGTGGTCCGGAACTGGGTGGACGTGGACGACGCATGGACGACCAGAACTGGGTGCACAGGCTAACTTTGCAGCTGTGGGATCATCTGCTGGCACGAGGCCGATGGTGCCCAGAGGGCAGTCAAGAGCGTTCAACGATTTGAGGTTTGCAGCACGACTTCAAGTTGAAGCCTCCAACAGAAAGGTGCTACGTGATGTGTTCAGCGGGAACCACTTCAAATTCAAAACTATGTAAATTCTTTTCCGATGTTTTTCCTTCATGCTGAGCCCACACGACAGAGAGGTCTGCAAAAACAGCACACGTCAATTTGCTCAGGGGAACCACACTTCTTCATGTTCCTTGCCCTTGCGGCTGTTGCCTGAGATGCCGTTGCCCACGAAGATGTTGCCAGACGAGGGAACTGTTCGAAGATGCTGGTCAGAGTCCTTTTCTTTCACGGGCACGAGTTGTCAATGCAGACTGCATCAGGTTGTGGCAAAGGCGGAGAAGGACTGGAAAAACGAGTCTGATTGGTTTGTTCAACCGGGCATCACCTGTTGAGATCAGGTCATTGTATTCTTGCTTGGCTGGGCTAAGATGATAGCAATCGATGATTGTTTTCAGCAAGGATTTCCAAGGGGACCCTTCTCGGAGGACCCTTGCCTTCTTTTTTTCATCTCTTCATTCCCCCTTTGTCAGCTTTGGTTCGGTGTGCCAGACCATCTTGGCTGCGGAACGCAGCACGCTGCCAGAGATTCTGACATCGCTTGGCCGGGGGGCCAGGTAGAGTCTGACAGCAGAGCTCAATTGCTTTTGTGCCTTGAAACATTCTGTCTTGGAATTGAAGAGCATTTGCACAAGACTACGATGCCTGCAATCTGTTCACCAACCACCTCAAAGCCTCAACCAGTGACTTCCCAAGCGTTCGGCTGGTTGATTGCAGTTGAGTTCTCCACTGTGGAGGCATCTCTTCTTTGACAGAAATGGAGAGACACGCTGACTGGTTTATCACGCAAGGGTCACTGACAGGTGTAGTGAAGTTGGAAGGCTCTAAGTGCTTTTCATGCTGCAATGGAGAGGACATGCCTTGTTGACTTATCACTCAAGATGAGAGTCACTTATCATTTGTCGAAGGCAAGTGGCAAGGTTTGTTTATTCCGGAAGCAGGCTATATGGACCTACTTGTATCATTCCAAGTCCATCCAAATCCCACGTCGCCAGGTCATCGCATGTTTGTGGGATCCCAAGCGGCTGACATGGTGACATGGTCTTGACAAGACTTCTGGGAACTGAGTGACGGTGCAGTTGTGGTGCCCTGATGCAGTTGTGCCGACTCGAGAAGTTCTTGTTGTCCCAGGCCGAGGAGCTTGTGATGATGACTCCAGCCACATTCATCTCTCGCGTGAGGTGCGAAGAGTATTTGCTCAATGAGCTTTGGATGACTCGGCAAAAAGCTGGGTAGAAGAACCGCCTTCAAGCAGAGAGATGCACAAAGACAGGAGATTCAAGAGAGTCATGTCAGTCTTCACACTTTACGACATGACCAAACGTGTTTCCCAGAGCCTCTTTGCTTTTCTATCATGAAAAACAATATGTTGTGTAAGACTCGTGAAGCTTACAGCATTCAGATGCCAATTGGAGGCGCATCGTGCTGAAAGCCGAAAAGAAGGACTGCTGTGACTGCTCCGCCAAAAAAACGCCCGGGCCACCTGGCCACCTTTGCCACTCAATGCCACCCAATGCCACCCGGCCATGCTGAGCATGAATCAGTTTGTCAGCATGGCTGACTCTGGCTGATCTATTCGTGGCCGAAGCTGCCAGGAGGTCCAGCAACTGGAGCGGCTGGAAAAGGAGAGACGGAATGATGTGCTAGATGGCCATGGTATGAAAAGAGGTGACAAACGCATTGGTACGACAAGACGGTGTTTGTTGATTTTTCTCGATGCTCAGGCGGCCTTGCTTTTGTGATGCTACCTCTGACTCTACTGTTTTTTGCTTCTCTCTGCCAAGCGAAACAAACAAGGCGCTGCTAGAGTTGGAAGGCACAGGCCTGACACATATTCTTAATTAAGGAACACTTATTCCAGGTCGTCACTAAGCATCTTCTGACAGTGCTTTGGCGTTCCTGCGGAGGAAGGAGTTTTCTTCATTTTCCCAGAGGAAGTGGTTGGTGCGCGCCTCAGGGTGAGAACCTAGCACTGGCACATTTGCTCAACTGGGGTTGGGCACCTTGAAAGGGGAACCCTGAATGGTCTAAGGCAAGAACATATATTTTGCCAACGTGCAATAATCAGGGGGATAATCATGCGGCTTAGCATTGCAATACCTTATCCTTCCACGTGTTGTCTTTGCTGCTTCTGGGCATGGCATATCTCAACAGTCGGAAAAAAAAACAAAAAACAAAAAACAAGAAAAACAAAACACACACACAAGAATTCAGTACGTGGGCTGTGGGTGTTGCACTTGCTCGTCCTGCTCATCTTGTTCCAGGCCATTGCTACCCGCCAAGACCTGGAGAGGCAAGAGACCGGTCTCGGGATGAGAAGGAAACTCTGAAGACCCAGTGGTGGGTTCCGGTCGGTGTGAAGACCGCTCAGCTGCCTGAACTGGTCGCTCTACCAATCACCTTGCTAGCCGCTAGCTCTTGCTACTATAAGGCCTTACCTCCTTCTACTACCAACAAAAGCCAAGAACCTCTCCACACCAGGTTGTTTGCCAAGAAAGGTCATTCAGGTAGGCTGTGGCGAATGCTGAAAGGCTTTGAAGCCGTGGCAGCCCACTGCGAGTTGCTTGGAGCCTAGCTGGGGCGGGGGGGCAGAAAAGACCACAAATATACTATGTATATATATGGTTCACTCATGAGGGCTTACAGACTTGCTTTTCATTTGGTCTCTCGATCAGCGCCCCACAACTCAATTTGACTGCAGAACAAGGCTGAGCGAACGATGTTAGCAATTTTCCAAACACTTATATATAAATATATAGTGTGTATATTTATATATACATAGCAAATTGTATCTTCATTCATTTTTTAAAACCTTCGTTAAGGGGGTGCTTGAAGCTATCGCCCATGAATTCGCATTTGGAAAGTTTCAATATATGAGGTGTTGAGCATTCCGTCGGAGCACAAGGCACCTGGCGTTTGCTGCTGTTGGACCTGCGTCCTGCACCAGAGTTTGAGGCTCTTGGTTCCGGGAGTCAACTTTTTCGGTTCTGGACCAGGGGATCAAATTCTAGTTGTCCAACTGACTTCGCACTGCAGGAACGGGTGCTGAATAAGGATGGCCCAAATTGCTCATTTGCGAGAAGTGAGTGTTTCAATTTGAAATCCATCCTATTTCCCAAGCCATTTGGGAATGCCCCCCCGTAGTTTGGGAATCGCTTTCGCTTGGCTCCAGCGGTCCGTCGCTTCACTTCCGTTCGATGCATCCAGGCCATGCGGCTTCCCGCCGCAGTACATTTCGATGCGGCGGCACGCTTCCCTCAGGCGGCTGGTTCCCACGGTGTGACCAAATGCTTCATTCGCTCATCGCAGCGTCTTTGCTCCTAGCGATGCCCTTTGTTCCTAGTAGCGTCCTTGCTCCTAGTAGTAAGGCCAGGAGCCCCTCCTTGCCAATGCCTTTTGTTTCATTTCATTGACCTTATTGAGCAACCTTGGCATTTTCTGCGTCCAACTCTGCCATGGCTGGCAAAGAGTCTACACAGCTACTATATAGTGCATTCATGTGAGGTGTAATTGAAAGACCATATCTGTGTTCGGCTGGACTTTATTTTCAGCCTTGCATGAGCATTTGCTTTCAAGGATACATGAAATACAACAGTTCTCCGTGACTTGGTGCGTGGCCCTATTTAGACCATTTTAGACCCTCGTGTTTTCAATCAAACGACTTAAAAGAACCTTTGACATGTCGAGGCCTCCATGCATTGTTCCTTCCTAGAAACCGATTTGCGCTATATTCTGTTGCAGTTTGGCAGTGTGGTGTGATGTAGGTATTTCGATAAGACCCACCGTGACCCACCAGCCCCACTGTCAGCTAAGTGAATCTCCGGCTTGCGCTCGCCGCAGTCCTCTTGGAGTGGGAGGCGCTGACCTTGGAAGCTTGACCTTTGGATAGAGCCCGTTGGGAGATTCTACCAAGCAAAACAACATCAGCGGATCGGGACACCTCGTTTTGTTTGACGGAGGTGGTTTCAGAGGTATCAGAGCAGCGACATAGTCCGAAGCTGCCAGGGTTCAGCATGTGAAACGATGCAAATACATTTTAGAATTGCCTTAAAATCCATGTTGCATGCTAGCACTGCTCCACGTGCGAATCAACGATGCGTGTTCGACTACACAGCACTTGTGCCAGGAAGCCTCTTTGGGTCAAAGAGGTTCGCCCACCTCAGCATTGTGCCCAGTGCGCTTACTTCAGGAGTCCTATTCATTGACCTTTTGGACTCGTTTCTTTCTTTGTTCTTTCCTTTTTCTCTTTCTTCCCGACTTCACTTCTCCATTGGGCAGATTCGCACTAATTACTCCTTTTGAGAACTTGAGGCCATCACAGGTATTGGAGGCGATGAAGGAGACACTCGGTGAGAACTGGCTAGTAGACGACCAGGCCAAGCTTTGCGTTTCGACGATAGAGGTGCCAGCAAGCACCAGCAAGCGCACGCTGAGCGAAAAATCCATCTTCCAAACGGCACACACACACACACGCACACTCTTTGAAGAAAAACTACTGCCATGGGGTTTGTTTTCAAGATACTGATTTTGGGGGTTGGGCGAAGGCTGTCTTCTCCTCTCTTTTGACTTATATACTGTATATATATATAGATATGCTGCCTAAGTCCTAAGCATAAAAGTGTGTCTCTTTCGAGTCTGACTGCAACGGTAGGCGCACATCTGCCTTGTGGGCCGGTCAGAAGACTCCTGGCTGCTACGGGCCATGTACGGCGTCACTCGGTCATTTTGCAGGAAACTTAAACTTAACTCAGCGTATTCTTTTGTTCAATTCTTCTTTCCACGTAGTTTCTGTTCAGGGAGCGATTCACAGGGACATTGGGATGTCGTGAGCAGTCCATGACGCGTCCAAGACTGCTTTTCAATGTCAGAAGCCTCCTCTGAAGTAGATCCTCATGCAGGGGTCGCGGCCACCAAATTGCACTGCAACATCACTCATGTCCGAAGTGGTCATTACATACTCAGGAGGTTTATATATGTATATATATATATATTATTTATGAGGCTTACGCCTGACAGCCGGGCGCCGGCCTATTTGGGTTTGGGTATGTGCAGGGCTGGGTCCTCTCTCTCTCTCTGTCTCTCTGTCTCTCTCTCTCTCTCTCTGTCTCTCTCTCTCTCTCTCTTTCTTTGAGACTTGGTGGGGCCTATATTGAGCAAAGTTAAGCTATTTGGTGCGCATCTTGGCCCTAGGTTGGGCCAAGTTGCGCCCATGTGGTCTATGTTGGGCACATCTTGGGCCCAAGTTGAGCCTATGTTGGCCTAGGTTGGGCCTATGTTGGCGTATGTTGGCCCCATGTTGGCCTATGTTGGGCCATCTTGGAGGCTATGTTGGGCATATGTTGGGGATATGTTGGCTATCTTGGGCCTATGTTGGGGATATGTTAAGCAACTTATGTGCCCAACACCCGCGAAATGTCGATTAAGCCTGTCCGCGCGGCACGCATAACTGACACCACGGGCGCCCTTTTAGGCACGCCGAAGGCCACAAAACACTGTAAAAACCGATGTTTTTTCAACATCCTGCGCAAGATACATATAAATCTGTCGACCAGATTTGGGCGGGGGTCGACACGGGGTCGGGCGGAGGTATCCCCGCGGTCCAACAAAAGGGTCGGCGGCAGGGGCGGCGAGCGTATATAACCTTCGGTTACCAACCGAAGGCCTCCGGCAAGGGAACGTGCGCGTGGCCGGCGCCCGGATTGTAAGGGCTTCGCCCGGGCGCCGCCGACCCCTTTTCAAGAGGAGTGTAGCATGTGTAACTGAAGGCGTTAGTGTCGTTCCGGTGGTTGCCCGTCTGCGGAAAGAAGATGGGTGTTCTAGCCTTAGGCGTGGCCTCGGACAGGCTAACTGTGGCCTGTGCTAAAGCCCACAAAGGTGGAGATGCCAATGCCAATAAGGTTGCACTCTGCGAGGCGCCGAGAAGCGTCTGAGGGGGGCCGTCGCCTTCGGAAGCCTAGAAAAGAAGAGGCTGGCCTCGGCTGCTAGCACCGTACGTGGCAGCCCAGGCCATGCCAAGGCTGCGTGGCCTCGGACAGGCTAGCTGTGGCCTGTGCTAAAGCCCACAAAGGTGGAGATGCCAATGCCAAGGTTGCACCCTGCGAGGCGCCGAGAAACGTTTGAGGGGGGCCGTCGCTTCGGAAGCCTAGAAAAGAAGAGGGTGGCCTCGGCGGTTAGCATCGTATGTGGCAGCCCAGGCCATGCCAAGGCTGCGTGGCCTCGGACAGGCTAGCTGTGGCCTGCGCTAAAGCCCACAAAGGTGGAGATGCCACTGCCAAGGTTGTGCCCTGCGAGGCGCCGAGAAGCGTCTGAGGGGGGGTCCGTCGCCTTCGGAAGCCTAGAAAAGAAGAGGCTGGCCTCGGCTGCTAGCAGCGTACGTGGCAGCCCAGCCATGCCCAGGCTGCGTGGCCTCGGACAGGCTAGCTGTGGCCTGTGCTAAAGCCTACAAAGGTGGAGATGCCAATGCCAATAAGGTTGCGCTCTGCGAGGCGCCGAGAAGCGTCTGAGGGGGGCCGTCGCCTGCGGAAGCCTAGAAAAGAAGAGGCTGGCCTCGGCTGCTAGCGCCGTACGTGGCAGCCCAGGCCATGCCTAGGCTGCGTGGTCTCGGACCTGCGCTAAAGCCCACAAAGGTGGAGAGGCCAACGCCAATAAGGTTGCACTCTGCGAGGCGCCGAGAAGCGTCTGAGGGGGGCCGTCGCCTTCGGAAGCCTAGAAAAGAAGAGGCTGGCCTCGGCTGCAGAGGAAGGTCGTCCCTGCTCGCATTCGCAGACTCGAGTGCAAGCAATGCCAGCACGAACGCGCCTCGAAAAAGCGAGTGTTGGATGGAAACATGAGGGGTGACGAGCAAAGGAAGCTGGAGCAAGCAAAGGCTGTGTTTGCGACGAATGCGGTGAAGTACCACGTCAACAAGCTGCGGGCGCTAGACTGGGCACGCCAGCACGGGCAAGCGGTCAAATATGCCATTGCAAAAGACACAATTTCCAGCCGGGCGTTGCAAGAAAAACCGGACTTGGGCAAAGACAAGGTGACGTGGCTGCAACGTCACGATCAGGACTGTGGCGGGCTGTACGGGGTTTTGCCCTTGTGCATCGGCATGCCGGTCACGGCAACCGATCACTTGGATCGCCGCAGAGGCATACTGAAGGGATGTCCGGGCACAGTTGTTGGATGGAGCTGGCATGAAGCAGCGGGAGGGAGTACGACACAGATTTGGAATCAGCTCCCGACCAAGTCAGAGTGGCGAGCGCAGGGGCTGGCCACGGACAACGTGTTTCCGGTGACGCTCCAACGGCAAGCGTGGCATCTGGACAAAGGCCGAAAGCGGCCCATGCTGCGGGTGGTGCGACGGCAATTTCCGTTGGCGCCCGGGTTTGCCACGACGGCGCATGCAGCGCAGGGCCAAACTTACGCAGAAGGGGCAGTCACGGACATGCAGATCGGCGAAGGCGGAGACCCGCTGACCGCATACATCGCTGTGACGCGAGTGAAAGATAGACACGGGTTACACATATACAGACCGTTCGATGCTGCACCCTATCAGAAAGGACGCAGCGTAGGGAGAGCTTTGCTGTTGCAGGCCTGGCGCGGAGAGAGCATTGACTGGGCAACGTTGCGCATGCGGCACCGCGAGGAGGAAGTGTGTCGCGAGTGCCACGAAAGCAAACCCAGAAGCGGGTACAGCGCCGGGCAATGGAAACGGGACGCGGACGCACGTGTGTGCAGAGAATGCGTGCGTAACTACGCAGCCAACAACACGCCCTGGCAATGCAACAGTTGCAAGGCATGGAAGCACGAAGACGCCTTTGCAAGAATGTACGCGCGCCCCCAATGCACGTTCTACCGCGTGTGCCAGACGTGCGAGGCACAGAAGCGGTGCTACAAGTGCGGCACGGCCAAGCCGGAAAGTGCATTCGGGGCGGCCGCGTGGAAAGGGCGCCATGCAGACCGACGTGTCTGCAGGGACTGCGCCATGAAAGTCAAGGGTGCGTGGCGCTGCGCCGTGTGCACGGAACGTAAGGCGCGCAATGACTTCAGCGCCTGGTCCAGGCAGCGCGCTGCACCGCAAGACGGAACGCAGCGTTGCAACGCTTGTGTCCTCAGCGCGGCCAAGCGCGCAGCAGCGCAGCGCGCAAACAACAGACGTGCGCGGCGCAGAGGACGGCCTGCCCGGGCGGATGCACGGGTCTACAGCTGCCACGGGCAGCGGTTGCCACGAAGTGTCGCGCATAGAGCCATACGGCGCCTGGCTGCGACGCGGACGAAAGTAACCGAAGAAAAGAGACAGCAAGTCATAGGTCTTGTACGGGAAGAGATCGCTGACCGTGTGCGACAGAAGCAAGCCGAGGATGAGGTGCTCTTTCCCCGGGCGCAGGAGCCGAACCGGAGAGAAGAAAGGCAGATGGCCCAAAGCAAGACGGAAATTGAAGCAGAAAGTGTCTCAACAGACACCAAGCCGTCGCGCAAAAGACACATGGAACCACCGGCAGTGCTTGTAGCGAAGCGTGCAAAACACGTGTCGGTGAGCAGCCAAGTGCGCACAGACCACAAACTGCAAAGAGAACAGGAAAGTGAGAAAGGTTTAGCTCCAACCGAAACCCAAACGGGCACAAACGCCAAGGCCAGGACAGTGCCGGCGCCACAACGAAACAGTGTAACAGAGGGCGGGCCTACAACGCAAGACGATGAACGCGCAGACTCGCAGGCAAGACCGCAAGAAGATACGCAGGCCACTGCGAGAGCCGCAAAGAAGACAAACGCAGCGCCGGCAAAGTTGCTCGGACGGACAGCCGGGAAGGAAATGTTCCAATATGCGTGTCCTTTTTGTGAGGCGTCGGTGAGCAGCAGCGTGCGCACAGGCCAAATAGATCACTGCCGGGCGTGCGGGAAGTTTTTTCGTGTCAAAGACGGAGACGTTGCCGCCAGGAAGTATGACTACGTTTGTCCATTTTGCAAAGGGCCCGTAGCAAGCAAAGTGAAAACAGGGAAAATAGATCACCGCACCGTGTGCGGCAACCAGTTTTACGTCAAAGAAGGCGCTGTTAGTGCACAGACACGCCAGCATCCGCAAAGGTGCCCCGCGTGCCACAGTGTGGTCTGGTCAACGCTGCTCTTTGGGCGCATTCAGGCCACACACAACACACCGTCAGGAAAACAATGCCCGACAAACAGCTGGCGAGTTCCGGAGAGCAAGCACGACGCGCCGAAATAGAGAGGCCGCGGCAGGCCTGCCAGGTGCCGAGGAGCGTTTGAGGGCGGTCCAAAATGCCTAACGCTGCCTTCGGAAGCCCATAAGAAGAGAAGGGCAGGCTTCGGACAGGCCACAGAGAGGCCGCGGCAGGCCTGCCAGCTGCCGAGGAGCGTTTGAGGGCGGTCCAAAATGCCTAACGTCGCCTTTGGAAGCCCATAAGAAGAGAGGAGGCAGGCTTCG